TGCTCACTAACAGCCCCTCAGAGCCAACCTGGGTGACCGCGCGTGACGCCGCGACGTCCCCGAAATGGGAAGTGCCTGTCAGGAGTCACACACTGCTGGGGACTGCCCTGGGACTGCCTCAGTTGACTCCTATTACTGACAGACACACACATGCCTGTTGGTGAACTCACAGGGAGGTTTATTTATAAGCATCTTGAGTTCCTTGCACTTAACCCTTGCATGAGTTTAGGAGGTCTATGACTCAGTTATCCATTGCTCCCCCAAGCCAAGAAAAATGTATGTTGCAATGATGAGGGAAAAAAACCACAATGCAAGGATTAAACCTAGTTAGCATGTTTAGGTTGGATATTGGGAGGAGATTTTTTTGTGGAGAGAGTGCTCAGGCATTGGAATGTGCTGCCCAGGGAGGTGGTGGATTCACCATCCCTGGAGGTTTTGAAGCTGAGACTGGATGTGGCACTTAGTGCCATGGTCTAGTGACCATGGTAGGGTTGGACTGGGTGATCTTGGAGGTCTTTTCCAACCCAGTTGATTCTATGTGAGCATGGAAACAGCAGCATCCTCTTTCTAAAGCAGCTGGATGCTGTGAGAAGTGGAAGCTGACATCTTCATGGGACATGAAGGGCCCACCAGTGGGCACCAGCTCTGTGGATCCTGCAGGGACAACTTCATGCTGCTCCCAGCCCGTGCTGAGCACAGCACCTGGATGGAGCACCTCCCTGACAAATAACTCACAGATTAATGCTTTTGGAGTCAAGCCCAGGGAAGTCACTCACCTCCCTGGCTGCCTTCTGGACGAAGCGCTCGTCGGTCACGCGGAAGGCTCGGCACAGAGCCTCGGCTGGGTCTTGCTGAAACATCTCCTGATGGACCATGTTCACGTGGAGATGGATGGAGGCATAGATGGCAGCGTCCACTCCCCCATGACCGTCAAACACTGCGAAATAAGCTTGTTCTTCTTGGTCCTGCCAGTGGAAACATTGAGAAAACAGCTCAGGAGAAAGCAATGCAAACAGCTAATTGGATTGTCTTAAACCTCTGAACTTGGGATTTGTGGTGTCCTCATTAAATTGCAATCAGAGGCTGAGTCGCCACTGGACAAACAAACTGCCCAGACCATCTTCAGTTGACTCAATGGGAAATTTCCACCTTATTGCTGAACTCTACCTGCAAACTGCCAGAGCTGCTCTGCCAGCATCACCTGTGTAGTGCTCTCCGTGCTCCTTACATCCCATTTGCTACAACTCAGTCACACAACTCAAAAAGGAAGTGCCATTCTCATCAAAATGTGCAGGAGATTTTGTGACTGAAAACCACAGAGGGAGAACATCCAATACAGTTTGCATGAAGTCTATCTACATCAAGGGTGGAATCCACCAGGGATAAAATGCCAGTAGAGTTAAAATGGGAAGCCAGGCAGCCTCTGCTTTCATTCTTCTCCCTTCTTAAATCTAAAACACATCATTTTAGCTGCCTGTGTTTGAAAAACCTGCGTGTGCTCTCTCATCAGATAATTGTGATTACATTCACAAATCAAATACAGCAAAATCACTCATCAAGTCAGTTTTCTCAGCTTCTTCCCCTTATCTGTGCAGAGAAACAATGTGGTACCAAGAGACAGCAACTCCTGTGCCTATTCACACGCACAACACCAACCCACTGACAGTGCCAATTCAACCTTGACAGCAGCTCAATGACTAGAATATTTGCACATTGTAATTTTTAGGTAATGGGCTCCAACAGAAATTGGAATAAGAAAGCTGACAATTGACAGGCAGAGAAAACATCTGCCTCTGTTTGCATTAATATCACTTAAAGGCAAGAATGTGGATGGGGCAGAAGATGGTTATTAAAATGACAGGATGTAATAAGGAAGCAATTATGAGGCAATCTGATCCTGAAGTAAAATTCTTTCCATTTTCTTCCATTCCTCAGTGTCCAGTTTTGTATCTGATGGAACAGCAAGTGAGTGTCTGACCAGTGGCCACATAAAGAAATCAAAGGGGGAAGACTGGCCCCAGTTCCACCAAACTACTCATGATGACTCCTGTGTGAGCTGCACCCATTGTCCTGTAAGGTTTCTATTTGATTTGGCTTTTTTTTTTTTACTTTCTTTCCTTATTCTTGCATTTGGCTTCTTCCTCCAAAGAGGAAGGGTTGAAGAGCACAACAGACCAAGGTTGCCAACTGGCTTCAGTGATGAGCTGCAAGGTGAACTCCTTCCTCATTCCTTTGGCAACTTTTCACTATCTGAAGGGCCTACAAGGAGCTGGAGAGGGACTCTGTGTTAGGAACTGCAGTGACAGGACAAGGGGTAATGGGTTCAGACTGAAGGAGGGAAAGTCTAGGTCGGATGTGAGAAGAAAGCTTTTTACTCTAAGGGTGGTGAGACACTGGCACAGGTTGCCCTGACCCTGGCAGAGTTCAAAGCCAGACTGGATGAGCCTTGAGCAACCTGATCTAGTAAGGAGGTGTCCCTGCCCAGGGCAGAGGGTTGGAACTGGATGATCTGTAAGGTCCATTCCAACCCCTAAATTCTCTGATTCTCTTATGATTCTATGATTCTCATTGCCACTGGCAGTGATCTTCAACTCCTGGGCATGCTCAGCCAAAGAGAGGCTCAGCCTTGTTTTATCTCACAGCACTACAGTGCACCAGTTCCCTCTCCCAAGAGCAGATCTGCTTTCTGCACCATGGCAGGGCAGACCTTCAGCATGGCTGCATCAGCATGGGCCAGATACAAACTTTAGTCAGATGACACTGGACCAGAAATCTGTGGCAATGGCTCTTTTGTTCTCTATACCAATGTAGAACCTGCATGTCACACTGCTGCTGTGGTTACCCAGTTACCAACACAACTAACCCAACACCAGGTGTGTCCCTTGACTGCCAACCCTCCTCACATCCACCATGGGTATGCCCTTCATCTCCTCAGCAGAACACCACCTAGTTTCCCCAAGAACTGAAACTGTATTTAGCACCTGATCTCTGCTTACCTCGAGGTTGAAGAGCATGTTGAAGTCAGGGATGCAGACGTGCTTGTCTTCCATCTTCCTGCGCATGTTCTTGATGGCATGGATGGACGTCTCGTAGTAGCGGTGAGGCTTGGGCTGGAGGGGAAAGTCCTTCACCCAGTTGCTGCAGATCTCGTGCAGTTTGCTATAAACTAAGCGTGCCAACTTCACCGTCTCGATCTCTGGGGGAGGCACAAACCACAAAGGAAAGGCTGAGAGGGTTATTAAGTGAGATTTTTATTTTTTTTCCTTGCATACATTACGAAGATGAAACAAAACCGTTTTAGCCAAGCAGCTGAAATGGATGTCAGCAGGGAAATTCTGGGCTCTGATGCATGAAAAGACAAAGCCAAACTCACCATAATCAGCATTCATCAGTAAGCAGCTCATTGTTTGTTTGTCTTTTTAACTTAAACACTCTCCCATGCCTTTGGGGAGCTCATTTGCAGCATCAGAAAAAAAAAAAAGGAAAGCAAGCACAGTTCCCTCAGCATCTGATCCTGTGTGTCACTGTGCCCAGGGTGCTGCAGCCCTGCCATGGCAGCTCTGACAGGGACTTTGCCATGGCATGTAGCATCATGTATCAAACCCAAATCCACTGCAATATCACACTGGTTTTAGATCAAGCTACCCATTCCACGCAGCACCTCACTGCAGAGCTGAGGCAATACAGTGGAAATAATCCACAGGAATTATTAGCATCACTTCAAGATGTTCTGGCAGTGTACACTGCCAGCACTGTACAATTCAGGTGCCTTCTTAGTTCCTTCCAGATTTGTTATTATCTCCAGATTCCTGACTCGATGCTGTGTCAAAGCAATCTGCATGAGCAAATGAGAAAACCAAAAAGGTCTCGAATTTAAGAAAATGCTGAACTGTCACTCCTGAGAAATAGTCACTTTCAGATGTGAAAACTCAGGCACTTGACATTTGTTCTGAGATTCAGGGGAGGAAAACAGGAAATAAGCATCAGAGCCGAACACATCAAAATCTCTTTGTTCGTGATCGTTTACCAAAGCCAGAGATCTTCAAAGCTGAACAGCAGCAATCCAAGAGTGCCAATCATTCCTGCAGGAGGAGTGGCTCCAACACAGGGAGTGGAGGGGAGAGTTACAGCATCTCTTGGTTCTCTGCAATTCTGTGAAGAGCCTCAAAGCAGCATTTACTCCTTTCTGTGCCGCTTCTACAGCAGATGTGAGTTACAGTGACTGGGACCAAGAACTGGGCACTGGTCACAGCCTGACAGAGCTCAAGAGGTGTTTGGACAATGCTCTCAGGCACAGGATGTGATCCTTGGGATGGTCCTGTGCAGGGTCAGGGGTTGGACTAGATCATCCTCAAAGGTCCCTTCCAACTAATTATTCTGTGATCCTTAGGAACAAGATAGAATCAGCAGAGCTGGGAATGTGAGTTGGTTCAAACTTAACCTGCGAGAGCAGCGATCAAACTGGCAATAAACTATACACATAACCAAAAGGAGAAGCCTTAGCTTCTTGATCACAGAGCTTTAAGAACAGCTGGTGGGACCCAAATGGTTGGGTCAGCCCACCACTGCCACAGCAGCAGGAACCAATTTCCCTGCACCTCCTATGCTGCTCTCAGCAGTGCCACCAGAGATCTTTTTGCTGATATTTAAAGAGGGAACACGCACAGCCTGACGTATCCAAATGACACTTTCCAGAAGGAAGCCCACAGACTTGCCCTGCCATCTCTTTCCACTGGGCAGGTGTTGTACCTGTCAGTGTCACCAGGCTGGTACACCTCAGAGTGTCACCCTGAAGGAGGATGGGAGCAAACCCATTGGCTGTGCTGAGCTCCTCAACACCCTTCCCAGCGGGAGTGTGCGTAGTGTCAGCATCATCAATAATTGCTCTTGAGGTTAAAACAGGAGAAAGGCCCACAATGGTTCAACCACCCCCTCACAGCTGGAAATTACTCATCAATTGTTAATGTTGCAGCGCTGAGCCAAGGCTGACTCAGCTGTCATTGTGGTTGTGTCACGGAGAACTTCATTTCCCTCCTGCTGCTCCAAAATCCCCAGGGCTGGAAGGAGCACTTAACTGCACCACAGCTAGTGGGAAATCCAGCTCAGGCATTACTGTTCCCAAAGATAACTGACTCTTAGGGCAAAACCAGGGTGGAAAGAATACCAGTAATTGGATCCTGCTTTTTAGTACCGTATTTTATGGCCTTTCTTGGAAACATGGACAGTGTGACTACAGAGCTCAGTAGCCACATTTGTGGAGATGTAATCAAGACAACAACCAAGGTCTTCCTTAATGTAGGCACTCCATTTTCTGACTAGTTAATCATCTCTTTGTGTCTTGGGTATAGTAATCCCATCTCCTAGTACCTGGAACGAGTGGGTAATGGGACGTGGGGATTTGCTTTGTGATACCTGCTGGATATTTTAGACACTCCACCATGTCACATGGTCCTACTATCCAACCTCCTTGGGTGGTTCCTTGTCAGTGCCAATCCTCCATGTGACTATCTTCCTCCACAAAAACCCCCAAACCTAAATGTCCTTCACCTGACCTTCCACAAAAGAACTCAAACATCACTTCATTCTCATGGAAGCTCTTTGTTCCTCTCCAGTGCAACTGGAAAAGTGTCAGTCATGGCCTGTGGCTCAGATTCTGTTCTTGATACCTAAAGAGATATGGTCACCCCAAACATAACAGGCCCATATTTTTGCATTCCTACATTTGTAGGCTCAAAAGTTTTCCTTCTTCTATGACTTGCATCCTTCTTTCATGGAGCTTCTAATTTCCTTTCCACCAACACACCAATAACTGCTTTCACCACTCCTAAGTATATGACATGATTTGTCATCTTGCAATTCCCTGAGTAAAATGTGCTACTAAGGATATTCGAAACAACTTTTTTTTTTGTCTTCTAACACATTCAAACTTGAGGCAAATCAGGTAAATGTCTTCTTGTATTACACAGAGTAAAAATATTTCTGGGCTCCTAAGAAAAACTGACATAGAATTGGATATTAGAACCAGCCAGCTGAATTCAGCTTGGTCTCACCTGCTGCAGCACTGGGGTACTGTGAACTCTGAGCATGAAACTTCAAGATGTAGAAATTCCACTTTCATCACCTGCTACAGTTTCCTCTGTTGAATTTCAGAGCATGAAAGCGTCTCTACATGGCACCAGTGAGGGCAGCTCTACCTACCTGCCCCAGGTTTCCCCTAGGAAGGTTTGCTAGGAGGGAGTTGCTGTCCCTTCACAAGGAAATCCTCAGTGCTGCATGAATCCTCCCACTTTTGGTTGGTTTTCTTAGCCAAACATCACCTGGTGATGAAGATTTGATGAAGCACTGCCACAGGTTGCCCAGAGAAGCTGTGGCTGCTCCATCCTGGAAGGTTCCAGGCCAGGTTGGATGGGGCTTGGACAACCTGATACAGTGAGTGGCATCTCTGCCCATGGCAGGGGTTGGAATGAGATGAACTTTAAGGTCCCTTCCAACCCAAACCACTCTGTGACTCTGCCAGTTTGTGATCACTACAGCTAATGCTCTGGGTTGAAAATTACCATTTATGGTGTATTGTCTGAAATTGCAGTGTTCATATAAAACTGCTGCTTTCCCACAGGCCAGAAGATGTTCTCTCTCTGCCTCTCCCCCTTTATCTTTACAATTTAACACTTCACACTGCATCAGGAAAGGTATATTTTATTTTCAAGTACCTTCATTATGACAATTCACCTCAACAAACTGCATCTGGATCCCTATTCTTAGGGCCTGCCCTAGTCTGGTCCCTCTCAATCTGTGTTTGCATCTGTGTCTTACAGACTGAGACCTATTTAAATGGCAATTTCTGTAGGTGTGAGGGGTTTGTGGTGGGTTTTTTCCTTTTTCTTTTTTTTTTTTTTTTTTTTTTTGAACTCTTTAGATATTCTGTGTGGAGGCTTAGTCAACATTTCCTTGGAGACTGTCAAATATTTATGCAAGTCTCCAAGATCTCAATTTGAAATTAATGAAGGCTGCTCAGCCAGAACAATGACAAATCTATTCCATTTACCTGCTCAGCAGGAGGAGCAGCAATACCTACAGAAAGGGAACCCATAGCATGTTTTTTTGTTTCTCAGGTTTCCAAAAGCCCCTGAGGAATACAGCAGAATCTTCCTTTTTGAAGACAGATTTATAGATCCTCTTTACGCTCAGAGCACTGATTTTTTTTTCCCCATCAAAAAAGGAGAGAATGGACAAAGTGGTTTGGTGACTGCATGTTCAAGATCAAATGGCAGAATTCCTGTCAATACACGTAGGAAATATTGTTCTTTGTTGTAATGAGCAAACCAGAAACTTTTTTGAGGTTATTTAGGTCAGCAGAATCCTGAAATGATTTACAGTGCGTGACCTTGAGCTGAATGCTGCAAAAAATCTTGTTAGCCAACACAGATCAATGAGGAAATGGAAGTTCTTCCTTTTCAGCACGAAATCTCTTCACACTATCTTCTGCTCAAACTGTATAAAAAATTGAAAGCCATAGTAAAACCTGCACTGACTGAAATAATTCAGAATTGTATTATCTCTTCCCACATAGATTTGACTTTGCTCCAAGGATGAGGGAGGACAAGTGGCACTTGCCAGCAGAACCACAGTCTAAAGTGCTGATAAAGAAATTCAGGGCCAACAGATAGAGCCATAAAGGTGCACTTAAAAGAAAGGAGTGATGTCAGAGCTGACAAAGCTTTGACTGAGAAATTAGCCACTAGCTCTATCAGGAGTAGTGGTAAATTCTCCATTAATCTTTTTACATCCATATGGGCTATTCCTCTACCAGAAATCCAGTCCAACTTTGCTTAGCTAGCTGGGAAGAGGAACTAATCTGAGGGAAAACTAATACCATTCAGGTGCTCAGACTGGATGGATCACTGAAGTCAATGCTGGCTGGAAAAATCTAGGAGTTAGCTGCAGAGTCTTCCAGCCTACAGTGCAAATGGAAGATCCACACCAAGTAGGACTGTCTGTAGTCATGCCCAGAGGTACTTACGGATGATCCCGTCCGCGTTGTCCACGTGCTTTGGTAAGAAATGTGCCGAGAGGTCGCTCTGAAGAACTTCATCTGAAGTTGCTCTGGCTAAAGCTGAGGCCAAAAATGAAGGGCAATTACTGGAAAAGAGAAAGAGAAAGCCACAAGAAGGTTATTTTAATCTGCTTTAACAAGGTAACTTGCAGTCAGAGAAATGCACAACAGTGTTTTGCACCAAGATTCTTCTTGGCTAGTGGCACCACAACCCTGCAGCGAGAGCTCAAACTCCCTGTGGATTTTGGTAACCTTGTTTCACTCCCATGTTCCCTGTTTCTTAAGCTTTAATGTTCCATTTCCTAACCTCTATGGAAATGCTTTTCAGATCTAGACCTGACCCCCCTGCACAGCCTGTCACGCAACCCTTGCTCACCATACGTTTTCTACATGTTCATTATATACTTTTATCTGTCCAGTTTCTCCTAAGAGTTGGAGTCAAGATTCCAAATGATGGGGCAAGTCCTCAGATTTCCAAGTGTCCAAAAGCTCACCAAGGAGCACTGAAAGTTAAGGCTGACCCATAGCAGGCAAGAAAGTTGATGTGCATGAGGTAAAAAACTCCCTCGTGAATGGTTTCTATCCAAAGTGAAGTGGCTTTAACTCACTTTAGGTTAATTAAGCCTGGTATCTCCCAAGGTTAATTAATCCATAGCAAACTAAGGCCACTTTAATGTACATTCATTCAAGAGGAGTTTAATACCTCTTAATTTATGTATGACTTTGGATTTCTCATTGGTCAGCTTGAACATCTCCAGGTGTCTCCTGCTGACACAGCCTGAAAGTTGCAGTTTTCATAGACATCCCTGGGGTAACAATGTCCTGCACAAGATGTCACAGGGCCATGCAGGAACACACAAGCCAAAAACTGGAGAGGGGGTGTTAGCCTAGAACCATCAGTCCAACCAGACCTGGAGCAGAAAAACTTCTCCACACAAAACCAGACTCATCAGGCTTCATCCTGGAGTGATGGTTCACGGCCCAGGAAAGCCAAGTGCCTCCTTCAACTGGCCCACGTGCCAAAGCAGGGAGCCTGAATTCCAGAAAAACAGCTTGGGTTGTTTTGAAAAGCCATTTTACCATCAAGTTTCCCAGATTCTTGATACTAAATGCTGCTACAAACAGCTTACGCAACCGCTTTAGAATTTACACACAGAATAAGTGCTCTGACCCTCATTATTTACCATTCAACATATCCAGAAATTATTAAAGTACAAGATTAGCAATAAATAGCTTTGTCCAAGTGGTACACTGCCATGAGACAAGCTCTGACCCTTGAAGTGAAGCAGAGCTACTCTCACCACGTTATTGCCTCGTCGTAAGAGTCTTCCCTCAAATGAGCTGCTGAGCATTCTGCTCACGCAGCACCTCCAGCCTCAGCAGCTAATGAACCACGACTGCTGGGGGAAATCAGCTGTCTTAGGACTGGCTCTTCCCAGCACAACACAGGAACTCTGATCCTATTTACATACAGCAATGCCTGCTGAAAGAGGAATCAGCAAGAGGAGGACACACCGGGACCTCCGGTACTTGCTGCGCGTGTAGGAGCTGAGTCTCTGTCTTGTCTTGTCTTGTCTGCCTTTATTTAGCTCAAAAAGAACAGGTTTTTCACTTCTATTATTAGCTCTAACACTCCAGAGCAGAGATGCTGGTGACTGGTCATGTTTCATGAGATTCCCTGTGTTACAAAAAGAGGGAAAGATTACAATGCCCAGGATAGAGTAATTTAGGAAGAGATTTTTTACAGAGAGAGTGCTCAGGCATTGGAATGTTCTGCCCAGGGAGGTGGTGGATTCACCATCCCTGGAGGTTTTTAGGCTGAGACTGGATGTGGCACTTAGTGCCATGGTCTAGTGACCACAGTAGGGTTGGACTGGATGATCTTGGAGGTCTCTTCCAACCAGGTCAATTCTGTGATTCTATGATTCTAATTCCACCAGCAGTTAGCACAGCGAGGACAGAACCCACAGGACCCTGAACTTGTTCCCCAGTCCAAGGCTCACCCCGACCAGCTCAGTGCTGAAATCTGTAGGAAAACCAAACTTGTTTTGTGTCTTTTATAAACAACCTCTCAGGAACATCCATTGATGGGCAAAGAGGGAACCTGGTTAAGAACTGGGGCAACAAGAGTTGCTGAAAGAGAGACTTGGGACCTAAACAGCAGAGAAAAAAATATCCCTGATGTGAGGAACTTCTGCTCTGCCTGGGCTTGGAGGGTGAGATGGACATGTCTGTGAAGACACAGAATCAACCAGGTTGGAAGAGACCTCAAAGATCATCGAGTCCAACCCTACCGTGGTCACTAGACCATGGCACTAGTGACCACTCCTATCTGATTTTTAGATATTAACCACAGTGACAGATGACACAACTGAAAGGTGTCAATGGTCACAGTTTCCAGCACATATTGTTGGTCAGACTATTTCCCCAACCAGCTCCAAGTGCCATTTATGTGTCCCTACAACCAATGCCAGCAGCTCCACACAGCAGCTCTTCATCTAGCCAAAGAGTGCATTTCCATTACAATACTGAACCTACACAAAAAGCTGCTAAAGATGTTATTAGATAAATTAGAGGATTTTCAGTACATCCTTCCTGATTCTCTGGCAGCGTAGGTGTGTTTAGAACACCCACAGTTGCACTGCTGCAATCCTGGAATAACTCTGCTAAGGTAATAAATCAAGCCAAAAGGTGGGCTGTTTCCATCAATTAAGTTGGAGAGAAACAGTCTGAAGTGGGTTTAACTCAGCCCACGTATTATTATGTTACCAGCTTAACACACAACTCTGCTCCAGCCTGAGAGCATTAGAGTGGGGAAGACTTTCGAAACGTTTTCTCTGAGTTATCCCTCCGTGCTCTAAATCCAATCTAAGCTCTGCTGCTAGAAAAAAAAGTAAAAAGAGAAAGATGGTAAATTCTTATTGCCTGGAAGTTCACCACTGGGATTGGAGCAAGTGATCTGTTTTGATGGGAAAGGTAGAGAAAAATAAATCAGCTGAAGGCTTTTCTCCTATGTCTGGCTGCTTTTTGTCCTAAGAATAACTGCTGCTCCACCAAGAATTAATTGCCCTTGACATTTGTTGATTACAAAGCTTCTTATGTGGCTGTTACAGGACTGTGCCATGGAAGCAGGGAAGTGACCAGATGCAGACAGATGACTTCCTCTTCCTGATTAGCACAACTCAAAATTTACTCCTCTTCCTTGGCTCCCGAGAGGACTTTAGTTGAATTACTTTCCCCCTTGAAGGAACAGCAAACTGCACTGCAGGTTTGTCACGTCTTTTAAAACAGATTAGCTGTGGAAGGCAAAGTGCTCTCAGGACACTTCATTACTGCTGCTCCAAGACAGATGAAGGTGCAGGTGTAGGATCTTTGTTTTCCTCACAGAAGTGATCACCTACAGCATCACACAGAACAGCAATGACCCCACTCCAGTGACCAGATGTGGGCAGTCCTCACCTCTCCTCTCAGCTGCTGTGCAAAACCAGGAGTAGCAGCCAAGATCTATGGGGACAGGGAGGAGTGATGCATCCTGCTGCTGGCAAAACGAGGGATTTACCTGTTGGCTGCTGGAAATAAATTCTTCTGCCACATTGGAGATGCTCAAACGTTATTAGCAGTTAGGTTTGACAAATTGAAGCTGGGAGGGCATGATCTTGTTTAGCAGAGAGCTGGGAGCTAGGATGCCTCTGTCTATTCATAGCCTGCCACTGGCTCAGCAGCTGACCTTGGACCAGTCACTTCACCACTCAGACCTTGATTCCTCATCTACAAACAAGGGATGAGAAGGTCATTCCTCCCAGAGGAGGAGGAGGAAGGCTGCAGAAGGCTTAGTTCAGTGTTCATAGCTCTGGGATTTCTTGATAAGAGCACAACTGAAGGGAAAAAATATCAAGATGAGAGTGGGAGATACTTTCAATCTATAGAAGATTTATGGAGCTCTCTTACTTTTTTCTCCTCTGTAGTCTCTGTACTCATATGCTGCCAGAAGAGAGGAGCAAACAACAGCTCTAAACAGGCAGGTTCAGTCAGACGCAGACACATAACTCTGTGATCAACAGCTGCATGACACAAACACATTTCTACACTGGGTGATGCATCTCAAAAGGGGAAAAGCCATGAAAGAGAGTTCTTAAAACTCAGTAATGCTGGTGCTGTGGAGCATTAGCACTGCTGATGGGAAAAGGATGCTGATACTGCCCCTGAGCAAAGTACCCAACAGGAGCCACCAGTGCTGAATAGACTGAGCACTGCCATGGTCTGGTGTAACTGATGAGGCATCACTAACCCAAACAGAGAGGGAAAACGGACCAAAAGGGTCAGTAAATCACAAAACACAGCGTTCCTGTTACCTCAGGAATCCCCTGACACTCCAGAGCAGCAATTGTTTTACGTTAGAACGCAACACGATTTAAATAGACATGTTATTCAATCTGCTGAAACACAAAACAAATCCACAGGCAAACAGGGTAAAGCAGCAGCATCTAGAGTTTCACACAGCAATCCAAGACCAAGAACATGTCCTGAAAAGCACCAAGTACAGCACATTCCCCAAAGGCCTATAATTTACTGTGTTAGTCAAAGACTTTGTAGGGATGACAAGTTAACTGCACCCTTTCCCAAAGACATTACACCAGGGAAGTGGTTTGGGAAACACTCCTGCTCATGTGGCCTGTTGCAAGTCCTTGTTAGAAAGCAGGTTTTGCCAGATTCCATTTAAGAAAACCCTCATTTGTCCCCAGCCTGTATTTACAAAACACTCCAAAGTCTCATGAGACTTCTTCCAGATGGAGCTTCGGATGCAGCCTGGAAGCTCTTTGAAGAAGTCTTTAAAGCTTTTATTATCTAAAGTTCCCATGCTGTGAACTGCAGCAGTAATGAGCAGAGAAATTCTCTGGGAGGTCCTTTGGCTGTTTATCCAACCTTCCCTTCAGCTGCCTCCTGGTTTTGTGGCCAGAATAACCTGGAGGGGCTCCTGTTTGCCTCCTAACTCCTCTAGGTCACACAGGACTCCGAGAGGAATATTCTGTGAGGCAGTCCAAGCCCCTAGAATGATTATGGATGGAGCTTCTAATTATGCCAAGCAGATGCTATTTCCAGCTCCTGCCTCTGCAGGTTCTCCTCTCCTCACACACAGAGCATCTCTCTGACCTGTGCTGTTCTGCTGCTTTGCACAGCTGGTGAAAGTTTTGATGCTTATTTAAAGCCTGGTGAGAGTGGACAAATGGAGTATGGGGTTGTTTTTTTTTTTCCCTAACACATGGTGAAACCCTGCACTAGATTTTAGCTGCTGCAGCGAGTTGCTAAAAAAAACTCAGCGCACACACACACTAAAAAGGAAACAAATAGAAAAAAAAGAAAAACAATGCACCTTTTAAAAGCTTGCATAACCAAAGCTCCTTGAGAAGTCATTTGAGCTGGCAGTGTTGAGACTGTAAAGATGCTTGATAAATCTGTTTGAAGGAGCTGCAAACGTGCTACCCAAGGAAGCTGCTATCTATAGGCTTCAGAGGCAGCTGCCTGGTCACATCCAAACCAATTCTGTCCTTGTGCTGACAGTTGTAAGCAACAGAAATATAATACACAACCATGACAAAAATATGCTCTTTCTGTGCTGTTCACCATGCACAGACACTGTGGTGGTGCCTCTGTTTCACCAAATATTTAACCATTTGCACTGTGCTCATTGCTCTGTTCCAGAGAGGATGACCAAGTTCATATAGATCAACAGCAATTAAGTCTGTCTTAACTGGATGGTCAAAAAGCCCCAAACCAGAGCTGCACTGCTCATCAGATAACATCTGCAACAGCTGGATTAGGATGCATCACCACACCAATCAGATTTGCAGTATTTATCCCTGAATTTTTAAGAGCTGTATCTTATTTATCCAAGTGTTTCCGGCAGCTGTGGACTCACAAACATCCCAAAGACTCCACAGATAAATACAGCAAATGGGAATCAAATTACTTCTGTAGGAATAACTGATTCCCTTCTCCAGCAAGGCTGGTTTTCCCACCATATCCCATGTTTTATGGGATGGATTGCACCCTGGGATCCAGGTATGGGTTGGACCTCCAATGAGGCCAGATGGATCCATCAGGGCTCAGCCCTCCCTGCCCTTACTTTGGAGGGACCATGATCCCAGTCCTCAGAAAAGGGGCAGGAATTCAGTTACACCTTTCAGACTCCAACTTGCCTTCTGAATTTGATTGAAATTGGCCTGAAATTGAGCTCATCCTGATGGACAGACTGAGCAGGCACAAAGCTTTGTTCCCTTACAAACCAGAGTTGTGAAATGAACTTGGGATGATGCTGCTAAAATTTCCTCTGGCAAGACAGGTCATTAAGGGAAACCCTTGACTTTTAACACATGAATTAGGCTGAGACCTCTAATCCATTTTCTGCTGCCTGGCAAGTCACTGCTTCCTTTCTCCAGAGGGATAAGTGCACGTGACAGTGCATAAAGCTAACAAAATGTAAGCAAGACAAAATAAAAAGGTCACCTTTGTCTCTTTGATGAGGTACAATGTCATGAAGGCTACTGTCTATCTAAAAATGAAAGGCTTGCTGACCACAAACCACTCATAAGCATTTGTGATGTAATGACTGTCAATAAACACCTCTGACACCGAAGGGGTGAACTGTGAAGAATCCAAAGCACAAGAACCAGCTTTGAC